CATTTAATTAGATGAGAAATTAAACAATTCCCGACCATACGGAGATTCAATCCTGGGGCACTCTCAAATCCCACACGAGATGTATAATTGATAGGAGTGGCTGCAAATTGAACTGGATAATGTCCAGAAAATAATCACAAAGCATTCCACACATTGAAAACCATATGGCAAAAATGAGCTTTTAAAGCCACGAGAGCCCAGAGTAATTGCAAGTTTGGCGCTCTCGTGTGCTGATTGCTGGCTATTTATGTGAATTGGCTATCCACTTTTTGGCCCTCCATCTGATGGGGTGTTGTGCAAAAATTTCCTGCAGCATTCCAATCAAAAGAGAACGCAGTATTTCGCTGATGTATGGATCACAAGGGGCAGAGAATATGGCTAAAATCTGTACAACACTTTCACAATTTGTATGAAAAATCCTTCAGATTTCATGGATTATTCATTACAATGAGTAAAATTAACAATAACTGAAATCTAACCGAAATCTTACCGAAATCTAACCCAGAATGATAATTCTACTAATTAAAGTTAAAAGTTGTGAGCCAAATATTGCATAAATGAAAGCAATTCCAGTTCTTAAAACTCCTATTGATCTGTACACCACTTCTGATCATATTATCTCCCCCTTGGGATATCATAAGAACTGTGCAATGCCGAATATTTCTTGCATTTGCTTCACCAATGCTTTCCCAATTAATGCAATTCCACCGTGATCATGATTGTTTACGCCTAAGGGAAGATGTTCGTACCTGGCTTTGTTTCCAACCCCCTCCCCACCCGGCAAAAGAGTCCCCGGGGAATTGTTTGGTGAAAAATTGAAACTAAAGAGAGATGAGAATCCATCGATTTTACGAGACTTTTCCACTTTTGACTATTTCCCTCTGCGTGGGTGGGGGAGGAGACAAGAGCAAGTGATATGGAGAAGAGAATCCCTCAAACTTTTCCCACTCCGCCCCGTCAATATCCATTGGTACTTTGTCGTTGTGCGCGATGAGAAAGGATGGGTGGATATATTGCTGGAGACATGGGGAAAAAATATCGAAAAATGTTTTAAAGTTTGAGTAATTTTGCTCAATTTTTATTCATTCTGTGGGGTGATTTCTTCCAACACTTCTCGGCAATCTTATTTTTTTTCTTATACTTCTCACCATATATTCGCTATCACATCTTTTATTGCAACTTTCCACATCTTTCCCCGGGCCTCATCTTCGTCGCCGCAGCTTCGCTTTTTCCCACCGCAACTCAGCCAAACGTGTGATTTATGATTGATGTGGAAAGTTTCCTTGTTCAGGGCTGTGTAATTCAATTTTTTAGCACCGCACGAAGGGAATTCATTAAAATTCATTTGATATTTAAACTGGGTGGCTCTCAATCAATTTTTCTCACTGGCTGTTTGTACACCGGGGTGGTTGGAAATTGATTGAGGGGAAAAGAATTGCGCCGGGAGGCAAAAGTAACAGGATGGGTGTTAATGAGAAATATTTCTGCAATCTGAACTTCATTAGCGCGCGCGCGGGTCACGAGCAAAAGAGGGGTAATGAGAGGCCAAAATTAAAATTCCACCATGGGGATTTTCGGGCGCTCCGCCTTTTTTGCGTCCTCACATTTCCCATAGACTCATCATTTTCCCTTCTGTGTCCAGGAAAATGCTAAGCTATTAATTATCTTTATGACGCTGGGATTTTCTCCTTCCCCAAACGGAGACAAACCATCCGCACCGTCTCCACTTTGCCCCCTTTGCGCCCCGGCCAAAGTATCACTTTACATAGGAGACAAAAAAGCAAATTAATTACTTAAATTTGTGTATTTTGCTATCCTTCGGGATCACGACAAGATGGAAGGGTTTGAGTGATGAATAGAAGAGCCGACAGGAAATGTGCTCAAAAGTCCATCTAAATTGGATTTAATGCGTTCAAAGGAGACTGAAGCTATTTGCAGAGATGATTTGAGATTAGATTTTATTGGATCTCCAGCACAGTGAGAAGTGTGTACTGAATTTGTGTACAATTCTTTGACGAGAGATGCATTTTTTGCTGTATAGTTCAACATATATATTCTATAAATGCTGGCAATAGAATTTTTATGATTCCCTCAATTTTTTTCCCCCACAGTCAGTGTGCAGTGATTTTTTGCCCCCCCGGGGAGGGAAAAGCGTCGGATAACCGAGCTACGAGTGGGCTGAAATATTTCCACAAAGAATAATGGGGTTGAATGGAAAAACAAAGAGTGGAGAAATGTTATTTGTATTATGGATTATGCTCTAGTTTCATACCAGCTGCGATTGTCAATCATTGGATTTGTGGTTTCATCCATAGATTTTTATGTTGTTCAAAGTCGATTGATTTCAGGACTGAATTTGTTGGTTAAACTCATGTCACTCAGTTTAGCCATGAGTGGTAGCTTTCCATCACTCATTGCTAACGAGATTGCTGAAAAGGCCTTTGTATGCGAGAGAGGTGAATTACCTTCGTGCAGAAATTATGAGCATTTGTTGAGGGGGTGGAAAAAAATTAATTTCACCACCAAATGCAAAGGCTGCAAAAATTGGAATTCCACCAAAATATAAAAAAAAACATTCGGGGTAGTAATTATCGTGTCCATTTTTTTTGTATTTCTCTATCTGCCTCTGGCGCTTTCGCGTCTCTGAAAATAATAATAAAAGTGTTTCGCAATGAAATGTTGTGTGTTTGCAAATAAATTTTACCAATTTAACTAAAAGCCAAAGAGAATATTTTTCCAACTCTCGCAACTTAATTTCAGTAATTCCTTTTGTTAAAAAAAAATTATGTGGCTCTACTCAATTTAAGCGAAAGATTTTCAAGTATGGTTATTTTCCACTACAAATAATAGAACTAATTTTCGTCTCTGCACTCGCAGTGATAATTATTTTAAGTACGCGTACAATTTAAGATATGTCTGTCAACAGAATCACCATCGCAGTCAGCTTCTCAAGCTTTATTTATGCCTTTTTTTCTCTCTCATATAACAAACCTTCGAAACGAGAATGAGAAAAAAGCCATGGCAACAAATTTGAATCTTGTTAAATTTGCGTAATCATAAATCATGATTCAGTTAGGATGACGACAACGCACGCTACGTATACAAATGGCGGAGGATTTTCCTGGAAAAGAAATCAGTATCTCTCCAAGAACACAAGAGATACCGCAAAGGTGTACGATAGGAGAGGCGAAAAAGTACCCAAATAATCGTAAAATCTACTAATTTTATACATCTTCTAACGCCCCAAATCTGCGGAATGTTTATCCAAATCCCGTCGATTATTGGAATGCAATAAAGTAAAACATTGCGGAGTGAATGGAAAAGTCTCTAAAGCATTTACTTGGTTATTAAGATTTTTGATAAGTCACTTGGGGGTTGCCTGGCAAACTTTCCATAAGAGGGGTTGCCTTTATGGCTCTATTTTTTTCCGCCCACCCACCCACCGGAGCTCCCCGTGATTTTTGGCTTAGAACACGAGGAGAGATTTCTTCTTTTTTTTGCCCTCCAAGGGATGGTCCTTCGTTCTGTAAACTTTGCATTTTCTCCTTCAGTCTCACTAATGAGGTGTTTTAATTACATTCCATGCTACATTACCCAATTTATTTCTTCACTGGTCTATTCTACTTCACTTTCCTCATCGGCCACCCTCTTTGGGGTTCTTTGTCTCTCGTTTTTTTCGCGCGCGCCTTGTTGGGCCCCGAAATTGAGGCCGCGCGCTGGCCTCAAGGAAGCACCATTGAGGGGGAAAGGGGTGGAAAAAAAGAAGTAATTAAATAAATTTAGTTGAAGAGCCCCACGCACAGCTGAAATATTCGAGTGTAAAGAAAAGTTTGGCATTGAGGTACATTTGCATAAATTGCAAATAATTCCAGAGCCACTTGCGGAGGGGTTGTGCGTCTCTCTCGGCCGAGAGAGCCTGGGCTTCTGGTGGTGCGGAGAAAGGGTGTGTATAGGGCCAGTGTGTCTCAATTTACGACGATGCATCTGACAGTGGTGAATCCCCCGAGCTAATGATTATAAATGCGGATGTGAGAGACTGTGTTGGAAGCCCTTATGCGATCCTGTGAGTCTTATCAGTGGAATTAACATTACACCCAGAGTGAAGGTGTTTTTCGCCGCTTTTTTGGCTCATTGCCATCATTTTGAGGGGTGAAGGCAGGAGTGTATAGTGCTAGTTTGCCATAAGACTAAACAATCCCTCACCACTGGGGTGTATAGTGAATTTTCCAGCCATGTGTATGAGTTTAAATTCTGGTCCACGCTATATTTAGAAAGTCCTCTTGTGCCGGGGTGAATTACACAGGACCCGAGGACACGGGTTACGGGGGAAAGTTTATGCCTTGGACTGGAGAGTAAAACTTTCCTTTACGCCCCAGTGCACATCATTTTCATCACCCTGATCGCTCTCTCTGCCCTCTAATGCAAATAGCACGGCCGTCCGTGGGGCTCCATTATCAAAATGATGTTCAACTATGTTGGGGTGGTAATTAACTAGCCTGGAAGGACATCAAATAGACAGGGCCGAAAGAGTGGATTTCTTAGTGGAAAAAAAAAATTGACGACTTAGGAACTCTCTCGCTCTGTGTGTGACTGTCGAATCATCCCCATCTGGCCCAATGGCCAAGGTGCTGTGCAAGAGATAATACCCGCAGTTGTGCCGCTGAACAGTGAATAGTGTCATGTTTGGTAATTACGCCATCACGGTCAGTGCTGGGCTTCGCAATTTATGCTCATAGTGTTCTGAACGGTGAAGACACACCACCTCTGCCGAGCTCACCCTGATCGGAGTCCGGAACCCCAAGTGCGAGTGGTGAAATTTTTGGAAAGAACAATTCAAACCCGAGCTCAGCATCGCAATAAAGGCACCCTCGCCCACCCTTCCAACCAAGAGTGAAGAAGTGTTGGTGAAAGGCGGAAGAAAAGAGGCGAGTGGGCGGAAGCGAGAAAAAAGAGAGCAGAGGAGCAAGTGGAGTTTTATGGTGACCTCAGTGTAAGCGGCCGGAGATGGGTTTAAGATTAGCATTAGTTTTGCGGTTGGCCATCATCATTTGTACAGCTTTCGTATGTTTCCCCATTGTTTCCACCCAGATGGACTGGGCCGATGATGATGAGGATCCGGGTAAGTTTTATGTTGCTCAAATTTTGATACAAAATCATTGTTTAACACACTCAAAAGGCATTTCACACACACATCTCCCGAAATCCTCGTTTATATCATTTGATTAACTTAAATTTCATTCTCACCGCACTTTCTGCACAGCTCGCCGCCCCCCAGGGCAGATGGGGTTGAGCTGGTGCGGACAGGAGGGATGGCGCAAAAAGGGGTGACATGGGTTTTCGGTGAATTAATGTGTAGACAAATAGTGCTCCGTGCGATTGTGCGCCAACCCAAGCCCTGAGAGACTCTTTCACACACTGCCAGAGTCCTGCTGCAAATGAGATAAGGGTAAATTGTGTCAAAATTTTATTGCTCCGGAAAATTTTCCACCCCCCCGCAAAAGGGGTGCGCACAGTGGCAAATGCACTGAGAGTTTTCTTTCATACACTGGAGAGGGATGGTTATCAAATTGGACGAATTACCCAGTGAAAGCGCATAAACCAATATTTGACGTATGTACTTTCATCATAGTCTAATCTAATCATGTGCATAATTACATATTGTGACAACGCACGAAGCATATATGCCATATATGTATATGTGATGGATATAAAGGATACTGCGGGAATCTCATGATTCATGCATTAGCGGTAGAACTTAGAAGCCATGCAAGAGCTTTTGACTTTGAGATTTCATGGAAATTTGCGATCATATTCGCTCTATGACGCTTTAATCCCTGCAGCTACACGAGTTCTGAAATGTTGTCAATGGGCGGAAATGATTTTGTTCCATGTCATGTGGAGAATGCTCTGGTGAATGGCCGGAAATATTGTCATCAGCACTAACACTCAACGCCAGAGGCGGATGAAATCTTTTGTGCGGCGTTCGCGGAAAGGGTCATTCTCTCCCCTCGTCGTGCTTTTTTTTCCTCACCACCACCCCTTGACTTCCACATGTACATATCATGCGTCGAATGGCACAACCTATTTACTTACATGGGGGGTGAAAATATCTGGCAAGAGAGAGAGAGAGAGAAAGATCCTTTGTGACGCCCCAGACATGCACAACAATTGACGGCGAATGTTGTCAAATATTTGCTCTATGTGACTAGTTTTCATCATCACCAATGAATATCGATAGAATCCGCAGCTCCTGCGGATTCTGTGCATGAATGCAGAGCAAATTCCTCAATAACCCAGTTTAAATAAATTTCCATTGAATATCTTGACTGGAGAATTGTTGAGTTTTTCTGTGCGGAAATGTAAGAAATCTATTTTAGTCAATTAATGATATCTGCAAATTTATCCCAGCAGTTTCTTATACACGAATCAACAAGCTCTTCACGGAGCTTCCTTTGCAGGAGTATCAACGGTGCAAAATAAATTGATATTTCAGGAAGTAGAGAGAAAAGTACGCAAATTGAGTTAACTTTTGTACGTTAATGCGTATCTGGAGAAAGTTTCTGGTGTTGTTTCTCGATGCTTTATTCCCTGGCGAGAGAGAGAGAGAGAGAGTGAGTGTGTATATATATCTGGGGGGAGAAGAAGAAGTGTTTATAATTATTTCATGAGAAAAATTCCTCAGTAAATCTTAAGGCTACACATACACAAATCACACCATGTTGACTCCAAATAATGTTAAGAGGAGAAACTTTCTCATGATGATTTCACTGGAGAAAATACACTTAGGAATCTTCCACGCCTGATGAAAACAAAAACGAACTTCCTTTTAACTTAATTGAACTTCCTGCCAAGGTTACTTTCCTCCCCACAACACCCCAACACATCCCCCCAGAGGAGAGAAATAGAGGATCTGAAAAATAAATTTTGTACATTTTTTTTTCATCTCCACATTTGTCCACAAGTTCGCAATTCCCGCAAAGTTTTCACCACCACAAAGTGCGTTGGTAATTATTTTGTGAGATATCACGGTTAAACTTTTTCACGTGTAAAAAAATTTAATTCGGTTTTAATTGAAAATTTCATTACAATTGGCGTCATGGCATGAAACGCTGAAGGGGTTGAACACAGATATGTATGCGATGGTGCGAGAGTTGCGCGGTAAAAATATTAGTTGACACGCTTAAGCTTTGACCGCCTAGCTGGACTACCAAATAGGTCCATCGTCAATGTATGCACAGGAGAGTGGCGCAAAAAGCACACGCTGGGGTCATCATATGGAATGTTTTGTTAAATGGCCATGTTTGGGGTCGTGTGAGTTTCGGAAGAGGGAAATTTTGTGTAGATTTGTAAATAAAAAAAAAATTGCCAAAAACACGTACCACCTTACAAATAAAATCGCCCCAGAGCATAACAGATTAATGGGCTTTATACGTTCCTGCAACATATCGTTGGTGTTTTGTAATCTCTTCCATGCGACAAAAAGCACCTCAGTCTCTCGTTTTATTTTCCTCTGCATTGACATGGGAAGAGAGAGAGAGTCTGTGCTGATATATACAGTAGCGAAAATTAGCTTAGGACACCTAAGAGCGAGAGATCAGCGAAAATTCGTGGCTAAACTGGCGCTAAACACACTCAGGGATTGCGAAAATGGAAGATTTGCGAAAGAATTTAATGATTTTGTCCGTTTTGAGTTGTGAAATGTCGTCCGAAACCCCATAAATATCGGTTGAACCTTCGATATATCGAGGGATCAGTCGCGTTTTATGGCTCAACTATCAAAATGTTGTAATTTTCACGACAACATGATTGTTGTTAAACGATCAACAACGATTTGATGTGGATTTAATGGAAATTTCATTGTCGTTTTGCGCACTTTTCCGTGCATTTTACAATATCTCGAACCCAATTTGAGATATCGCCATGATCTTAACGTCATTTGAAAGATAATGAAATTCTGCTCGTTCTTCATCTTATGGTAAATGTCTCAAAAATTGAAAGAAATGTCGAATTTTTACCATTAAACTAAAAGGTGTCCTAAGCTAACTTTCGTCACTGTATTACTTCGCTCAGGGATAATACAAAAATTACATAGAGGAACTGGCAAATTGCTGTGCGGTGATTATTCAGGTAAAAAGAGATTTTCAACGTTCTGACTATTGATGAAGTATGTCGCACCAATTATAGTGGAAAGTTTGGAAAAGTGCATAGAAAAAGTTGCATGACAGTGAAATTGCTTTAATCATTGAATTTCTCGTACTCCCCAAAGCTATATATGTACCTTTTCCAACACGCTTCTCAACTCTCCCCGGCGGAAGTGACGGGGATTTCGCATTCGATATTGCTTGCATCACGAATCCCTAACGTAGAGAGACAACAACACGGAATAATGGAGTGGATAGATATTGAAAATAAAAATCATTATTCCAAAGTCATAACTCCAATATAAAACTTTAACAGGAAATGTTTTCTTCATCCCTCCTCCGATTCTGTTCAGGGGGGGGAGGAGAGGGAAAAAGAGTCAAACTTTTTCGAAATGCTTTTATAGAATTTTAATGCTTCCCGTTGTCGGGATATGTTAACTTTGCCATATAAATTTCTCACTCTTTTTCATGCCTGCGCCTTTTCATGTTTGATTGGGAGAAAAGGAGAGTGAAAAACTGGGTAGACGCGGAGGTGTTCAGAGCCTCAGGAAAAGAGAGAGAGAGAGAGAAAAAAAACCTTTCACGTGAATGAAAATAAAGTTTTTTCCCCTTACCTTTTTTTTCCTAAATGAATTTATGTCAAGAAAAATCAATATTGCCAACCTCAGGAAGGGAAAATTTCTGGTTAAACATTTAATAATGATGCGATATTTGATATTAAATGCTCTCAACTTTCAATTTCTCAGAAAAAAAATACGACGCGATGTAGATTTGAGGAAGGAAAAGCTCTCCTTGTTTACCGATTATGGCAATTAACCGTCATTGGCGGAAGTTGAGATTTCCACGAATTTATCTCAACTTCCGGAAGTGACGGAGCAATAAAAAAAATTCCTCATAATTTTTAAATGCGCTTTTTCTTAATTATTACGGCACGTGTTGGGAAATTTCTGAGAATTTCATGACAAACAAAATCTCTCAAGCTACAAAAAAGCGAGATATTTTTATAAAAAAAGTCAAGAGAATTCAAGATTTGACTGTGTGAATTTTTAACGACACTTTTCGCTGTTTCTTGAGAAAGAGAGATTATAAAATTTTCATCTTCCGAAGATGATTCATTCTATACTTTAGTTTTTTTTTCATCTTCTTCTGTGACTTCTTCCCGTTTTGGCATCTGTCGTGTATTTCACTATCGCATGAATTTGCCGAAAGGAAAAGCACGATAGAGAGATGAGGGAAAGTGCGATGGTATGAAAAAGCTAAAGAAACTCTATCGTATATTTCATCACCATCCATTCTCGTTGTGTACATATACTGTATCTGTTTATGTGAAAATGTATTTTGAAGCTTATGACACGAGCCAGATGCAAACATTTCATAATGTCATATCACGTTCACATGAAGGCATTCACAATGCAAATGAAAGATTCCCATTGAAAGAAAGAGCGAATATATGAGCGATGATGTTCCACTTTTGCACATGGGAGAATTGAAAGAATATCGTGAAGGTTTTCACTGTGTCTGTGTGTGTGTGTGGAATGGGAGGAAAAATTGAGACATTTTCGCGTGGAAAATTGACAGAGAGAGAGAGAGAGGGAGGAGGAGAGGAAAAAGCTGAAGATTTTTGAGCTTTTACTGTCAAGCCCACGATGAGAAATCAATAGCGCATTTTCCCACATGTGTGCAAATGTACAGAATATTTCATATGATAGTTACTCAAACACATGAATATTTATGGCCTCTTTATGTCACTCATGTTATACATTGATGATAAATTTATTAATACAAAATCAAACAATTCCCGTTTGTAATTAAAATTGATATAAAACCATCAGAATAACTCATTACCTATTTATATTTGTGTTTAATTTGAATTTACATATTTTTATTGGACAAGTTATACAGCATTTTTATCACTGCGTCACACATTCTCCCTTTGATGATACAATGTGATTAAATTTGGTTTATCATGCATAAATAT